ATTGATTTGACCAAAAAAAAAGAAGAGTGTATTGTAGTATTGTTATTCTCTTTGCGCATTGGGAACTGCAGAACTTCAATTTCCCAAGTAAATTGTATTTTAGTAATGTACGTATGCTAAAAAATCCATATTTTCTTTGTTAATTGATGATCACATTTTTTAACAATACTTTAATGTCCAAATCGATCCCCCCAGTTAGATTGAAAATGTTGCGGTCCGACTAGTGATTTTAGTTTTTTTATTCTTCATCATTCATCACTCTTAATTCTGTCTTCTATACTTTGTTAAGCGTTTTAAGATTTAGGAAACTAGTTTTGTTTGCTATTGAAACTAAAATAATTACAGTAAAAAGGAAATTTTAGAATTTTAAAATTTAAATTAATAGATGTAAATAAGAAATGAAAAAGTTATATGTCGTTATATTTATTTTCAAAGACAAAAACTATTTCTATTTCAATATTTCTAAGTAAAAAGAAAATTTAATATATATTCGAGATAATTTTTAAGAATATATGCATTTTCACTAGAATAAAAAATTTATGATATTTTTGCTATATGATGGCATAAAACCATAAATAGATTTGTGACAACCTAAAAACTAAGCTATATTGCATCATATGTGTTTGTGTTTGCACGCGTGTGTGTAAAATAGAGCAAATGGTAAATAGGAAACAACTCACAAGGACAATTACACATTGGGAGTCGCCTTACTCTTATCAAACACATCTCTAAGCCCTCTTGTGCGACATAAGACGTTTATTAAATATCCCTAACCACTCGTTTTGCTACAATTCAGAGTTTCTTCTAAGATACGTTGATGTAGTTTAGTTTTTGTAAACTCTTGCGATATGTCCAACTATTGCTGACTAATCGTTTTGACCGATCGAGAACCTTGATTATACCTGCCGGTGTAGCTACAAAAATAACATAATCCAAGTGAAGACTCTTCATACTTTCGAAAACTCATTTCCAGTTTTATATATTTGTTCAAATATCAAAATAGAAAGTTACTTGGAAATAGGCTCGACGATTGTGAAATAAGATTAATCTCATCGCGTCTCTAACCACCCATGCTACATCCACCAATAACTTAGCTTTGGACCAAAGACATTGCATTTCAACTGACCAAACACCGGAGGCATCTACTTTAGATCATCAGTATGAGATTTCATAGTACCTCATGCGCTTCGTGATTGAGCCAAACACCATTGCTTTGCATCATCAATTGATTTTTCAACCACCGTATTTGATTGAAAATATTATGCATGTAAGAGTGTCTTGTTTCTGTTTTTCAGAATGATTCAGATCATCCATGGTGAAACATCACAAATTTCTGAAGAAATATCTTTCTCTTGGTAATTCATATAAGATGGTGCATGTTATCAATCAAAAACCAAAGCCGGTCTCATATGTAGGCATATTAGGAAGAGCCCAAACTTACCTAGTTAAAGGGAACTGAAAAGAATATTATTTATAATTTCCTCCTCTTCATTACAAGAAGACATCCATCATATGGTATAGATCCCATCAAAGGATTTCTTAATTTGTGGAAAATGGATCCCATCAAAAGATTTCTTAATTTGTGGAAAATGCATCCATGTTAAACCATCCCTAGCCGAACCAACATCTCCTTTACTACTTTAATTGAAATCGATACCTTTGAGTTTAATTCTAATAATCTAGCTAACATTTTTATTGAGAAGTTTTTAAAAATAACACTTTTCAAAAATGCCACATTTTCAAAATTTTTGCAATGTTACTTTTTCAAAAAAATAATTTCATTATATCATTTATGTTTGGATTAACTATATTGTATCAGAGTTTTGTTTTGAAAGTTTAAGGAGTTTTAGGGGTCAAAACATTTTTTAGGGTTTATAATTTTAAAATTTAGGTTTTAAAAATCTATAATTAGTGGTATTTTTGCAAATGAACACCCTTAAATGACATTTTTGCAAATGAACACCCCTAAATGTACACACTAATGGGGCATTTTTGCAATTGCCGCATTTTTATTTAGTAATTTTCATATTTAGACTTAATCATTTATTCGTTATGTAGCAAAAATCTTTTAACCATAGATCTTTTTTTAATAATAGATTAATGAATTTAAATACAATATTTTATAATTTTCATACTACTCTATACCAAAGCAATCCCCATTGTCTTTTCTTTACGAAATCTTTTTTCTCGCGCACTGACTTAGCTTAGACAATCAAGAACCAACCTACATCAATGAAAGATAACTAATCGCTTAGTGAGTACAATCACTTTAACTCACCCACCACTCACCACAAACTACACGCAAAATTATAATTACATTCTGAAAATTTGTAAAACATATTTAAATATTCTAAGCTTGATTTAGCAATTACAACATGTATCATATTGATATTTACCTATTTTACTAGAAAGAAAGAATAAAAGTGTTTGTCTTCCGAAATGCCACTCGGATTGCGGAGTTTTTGTCYGAAATGACGATGTTGAACAGTAGGGTATTTTTTTTTGTTTGTCGACCAAACAGTAGGGTATAATTCAGAGTTTTGGAAAACTAAATTCAATAGTATTGGTCATAAAGAAAAGCTAGTACAATGACAAAAGACAATCATGTTAATTGGAAAAAGTGAAAGGACAAGTGTCATTCCATCTAGAAATGGTACGTGGGGAGTAATCATATCACGTTTGACACTACACTCATTCATATACATTTTCTGATTTCTCACTAGATTCAGGTCTCACGTAATTAAGAAAGCATGAATTAGCTAGATAACTAAAATAAGAAATTAAATGTTAACAAAGTGGCCAAATAATTTGAGTAATTTAGTCAGAAGGGTCATATAAATTCACTATAAGGTGACACGTCCACAAAACATACAGTAAGGTTAATTGTCGCGGGTTACACACATAAAAAAAAATAAAACATACAGTAGGTTAATTGTCGCGGGTTACACACATAAAAAAAAAATAGTTTTTTTTGTGTGTGTGTGTGTGCATAAGTTAGTTATTACATGAAATTCTACACACACAAAAAAAACAGATCTTGATGGCTAAATAAAATAGTTAATTGCATAAGTGTTTTTGTCCTCATGAACAAAATTTCTATTCTAAGTGAAGAATTAATAAAACACTTACTTTGATGGTGATATATTTTTACTAATATTGAACTGTTTTTATATGCAACTATCGAATTTCATATATTAAAATGAATGTTAATTTTCGTAGATTTTTACATTTATTATTGTGTGTGACATCACATAAAAAGTATACATGTTTTAAATAAATAATAGGTTATGGTATGAGTCACAGATAGGTTTTACAGGATCCACTAAACAAATTTATAATATTTATTTTAATATGACCAAAAGTTAATATCTCAACTGATAAAAATCTCACATAAAATTTAGAAGTCGGTAATTTGAATTGTTCTTGAGACGGGACCAAAGCCGGGACGCGACCATATAACATATTCTGGTTCCAGATTTGAGGGGATATACGAGTCAAGGTCTAAAACCTTCT